ATTGTCGATGAGTTTTTTGTTTTGCTTTGTTTTGTTTCTTGCTTAATCCCTTCACCTTTTTCACCCAGCCCTCCAACACCCCACGCCCTGACAGTGGTCAGTCTGTTCTCAGTATTTGTGTCTTCTCATTTTGTTTATGGTTCCCCTTGCTGTGCCATTTGGTAGGTTGGCTCTGCTAAGCTGGCTCAGCTGGTCTTGTCAGTGCTTTCCTCCATGCTGAGATCTCTCTGTTATGGAACCAAGGTTGAATGATCATGTCTACCTGAGCATGATCTCTTGGTTGAGCATAGGAGCACAAGAGGGCTAACAGCAATAGCTCTTAAAAGAACTTCATGGAAGTGGGCCACATTTCATTGGTCAAAGCAAAGCATTGGGCAAGGTACACACCAAAATGAAAAGGGTGGGAAAATATTATTTTCCTACAGGGTGTGAGATGGGAGCATGGATGTTTATTGAACAGTATGACCTAATACAGATGTTTCTAAATTAAAACAAAAATTTAAAGGAACAGGTGAAGTTATAAGTATGAAACAAAAGAATCTAGTGGAAAGGAGGGCTTCTGTGAGCCTAGGAGGGAGAAGACATTTAATTGAAACAAACTATTTTAACAAAAGCAGAGTAGGGGGCAGCAAAGTGTCCTAGTTAAAAACCAGGCTCTGGAGTCAGTCTACTCTTGGTTCAGACTCTGGATCTATCACTTCTAGCTGTACAGTCTCCAGAAAGTCACTGTATATCAGTATCCACCTCTGTATAATGGATGTGCCACTTATCAGACAGTTGTGTTTCAGCTATAAATCCATCTTTCATTGTCTTATTTGCGATATTGTAAATTTCTTCCTTGCCCGCTTTTGTTAAACTTTGTCAGTAGAGGGTCTAGAACGAGACGAGAAGGAAAGGGTGTTACTTCCTGAATCTAGTGTGTTCTTTATGGCATGCAGTGGCCAGCAGCATGTGGGACACCCAGCGGCACTCAGCTGGTAGGGAGTTTTCATGGCAACACTCCTACATGTAGTTTCCTTGATCTTTTCTTTTTTGATATTTAAAAAAAATATATGTCTTTATCAATTTCAGAGAAGGGAGGGGAGGAGAGAGAGAGATAGAAACATCAATGATGAGAGAGTCATTGATCAGCTGCCTCCTGGACACCCCACACTGGGGATCGGACCTGCAATCCGGGCATATGCCCTGACTGGGAATTGAACTGCAGTCTCCTGTATCAGAGGCTGCTGATCGGGCCTACTACATATAGTTTCCAAATGAGTTTCATACTATGGCATCTCCTACTTATGGGCACCTTCCCAAGT